CCCCCCCCCCCCCCCCCCACTGAAAATCACCCCAGCAGGATCATGATGTGGCTTGGATTCACGTCAAGCAAATACTACCTCTCTGTCTTTTCGAAAATATAAGGGTCATTCGGATTGTTGCTGTCTTTACATTAACAAAATACAAGAGCGAATACCACACAACGGTCCTTACACTGTATGTCCTACCGAGTGATATGCAATATCTGCAGCATTGGCACAGGATGAGCTACAAATAGAAGCTCACTTCTCTTTGGCAGCCAGAGTGGCGATCCCAGGGGACACGTGGCGAAGAAGCTCGTCCATGCTGAGTGTTCCCGTCGTAAGCAGCACCGCGATTAACACGTAAAGGGAGCGAGGAGTCACCTACATACCCCCCCCCCCAACACACACAAAAAAAAGACGAAGGGAAAGAAAGGGCGTGCGGCAGGAGAATTCGCGGAAAGCACCAAAATCGATCAGATCAAAATTAGCGTTCAGCAAACCAGCGATGGTCAATGCTAAGAGAGAAAGAGCCCAGGAGCGGCCTATCCCAGCAGCAAAGCAGCAACAAGCGCCCCTACATGACAGCAAACCTAACCCTTACCCAACGCGCTAGGGAAAGCCACCACGCTGCTCACTCGCAACGTTTCGCCGTCACAGAAAAGGAATAGTTAGGTGTATCCGGTTCTCTACAGCAGTACGTGCCCCGGTATAGTACTGATCAAGTCTCTGGGCAGCTCCTTTGCTAATACCTAACATTCCTGTTGTGCATAGTTCCGGTTCTTAGGGTTCCCGGTATAGTACCGGTCAAGCCATTGGGCACATACGGGCGCTATATCGGGACACCTACCGCATCTGTCTGTCACACACATACCTTGTCGATCTGAACCTTGTACCTCGCAGCGTCAATCTCCTGTGAAGCAAGGTACACAGAGCAGTGTTGAGTCATGCGCATTATACGTGTACGTGAATAGCACCCAGCAAAAATGACGCAAGCAATGACAAAGCAGTTGAAGAGGGAAGTTGAGAAATAGTGACGCATCATTGGTGTGCAGTGCCTTCGCGAGCAAGAGCGTTGAGAGACATAGTATCACGAACAAAAGTAACAGAATGTGACTGCAACGAAAATATTTCTATCGCCCCGGAGTCTTGGGAAGAAGAGACAGCAACAATACAACACACCAACCAAAGGCTTCGACGTTGGCAATAACGCCACACACCTTGTGACAGAGAGACAGTTAGAGAGACAGACAAGACAGCGAAGCAGACAGCGAGACAGACCTCAGAGACAGATAGACAGACTAGACAGAGACACACATACAGACACATAGACAGCGGGAGAGCAAGAGACCAAACGCACCGGGGGGACGGGGCCCCGTAGACTCTGCCTCACCCAAACGTCCGGAGGCCCCGTGTATCATACGTATCTAGGTCCGAGTACGCCAATCACCTTGTTCTTGAATGCGCTCCGCATGGCGGCCCTGTGGTACTTCGCCACAGATGGGTTCCGGTAGTGGGCCAGCTTGAAGCCGAGGACGGGGGGCACGCTGTCCTTGTTAAACCTCCCTACCAGCCGCAGCAGACCGCGGTTTGCCGGGTCCGACTCCAGTGCATCTAGTGTCAGATCAAGAGCCCTGATCGTGGTATGTATACACAAGGGAAAGAAGAGAATGTTTTACGTATCGGTATGTGCACGCGCATAGCCACGTTGCTGTTGCCTGCACATCATGAAAAACAGTTCCAATCCCTGCACTCCCCGTGTCCTCATTGTAACATCCATGGCGGTCCAACCAAGCATGGGAATTTCTAGTTGGTGCTGGTGTGAGCATAGGCTAGCGCTCTGGCGTTTCACGCAGTTACAGTGGATGGGTCTGACTAGTATAAATCTAGTATTAATCAGAGTCCAGCCATTGGGATGTATGTGTGCGTGTTTGTTCAATGACAAAAACATCGACCACTCTAGCCGGCTGACCAATGACAGTACGTCAGTCTCCGTGCGGTTGAAAACACAAAATACTTGCGCGTGTCTGTATGTTTCCTGATGTTATTGCTGGCGCCACGGCAGCCGTGCTTCCCCTTCAAACTTATGAACGTCCTTTACAAACCGGCACTATCATATGTTATTGGCCGCACCAGCCGCGGCCATTGCTAGGCTTACATCGTCGTGAGAACAAGAAAAACTCAATGCTACCTTATCCCGTACTCTGACCCGTGGATAAGGCATGAATTCATTGCGTTTTCGAAACAAAAAAAAGAAGAAGAGAGACAGAAACAAAGGGTCCGGAGGGCAAACACATCCTGTAGGTACTCTGCCAGGGCCGTAGCCATGCCCACCTGTTTGGATCCAGGTCGAAATATCCGATAAGTCGTCGCATGTTCTCCTCTGACTCCGCGCCGGCGTTGCCCCTCCCGTTGCCACTGTCTCGAACCCCCGCCAGGAGGACCAGCAGCTTGGCGAACCCCTCCGTCTCCTCTCGCTGCAGGTTGAAGCGGTGTTGCTTGTACACCATTTCCGTCCCTTTCTGCTCCCCGCGCGATCGATGCGGCAGTCAGGGCAAGAGGTGGGGTTGACACATCATTGACAAAATCGGGCTGAAGAAACCAACCACCCGCCCTCCGAGTGCCGTGTCTCGGCTCCTCTCACTCAACGGCTATGCCGCAGTCAGGACCGGGGGTAAGGGTAAGGTTGGAGTATCAGGCTGCGTATTAAATCCCGCCCATATATCACACCCTCTTCGCGCCCTTCTCATTTCAAGTATTGTACGATGCAGCACTCAGGGGCCAGGGATACGAATACAACAGACAGCCGGTTCTAAGGCTACTTATCCCTACCCATACTCAATCCGAATGGCCATGGCAACAAGCACACTCTACCACCGCACACGCATACACCGCCGTTGAAGAGAGAGGAGGAAGGGGAGTTGAGGCGTTGAGAGCCACGACCGACTGGACTGACCTTGAGCATAGCCCGCGCCAGGGGAGTGTTTTGCTTGCCGCCCTTTGCCGTCATCGGTGCTACCATCTTGGAGCCTACCAACACTTCGTCCTGGCGAAACCGCATGCAGCAAACAAACAAACAAAAAACAGCAGGAAATACACGAGCGATGGTACACAAGTGCGGCAGAAAAACAGCGTTGGAGACACGGCAATGGGCCGCCAAGCCGCACGAGACACCGCCATGAAGCAAAAAAAAAAAGCAAACAGGTTTGAACATCCGAGTAAACTCTACAGGGGTTCACACGAAGAACAGCGTTGAACACCCATCGACCAGAAATATCTTCAAGCACTCACTCCGGCCCGACGGCCCTGCTGTAACTGTCACCGAAGGTGCCCTGATGGATACTATTGTAGGGAGAGGAAGCAGCAAACAAGAGAGGGGTTGCAGGGTTCCATGCCAATGCCGTGGCTTCGCCTTCGCGTTTCAACTCGGCCGACAAAAAGAGAACCGTAGATTTCGTAGATTTCGACAGCAACGTCTTCAGGTCCATGCCGAACCAACTCCGATACTCCCTTCCGCATACATTGGATACACTTGTAACGGAGAGGGCACATACTCTCGTGGCGAAATACAGACACAAAAACAAAACTGGGTAAACATTCAGCAGCCTTAAACACTAGTGCCGGTTGTAAGTATAGTGGCGGTGAATTTTCTGGGCACATACAGGCACTAAACAGGAACTCTGCCGCAGAAAAATCAACATGTTTACCTCGAGACACATGTAGCACGTCTCGCACTGCCATCCGCCGCCGCCGGGGGGGGCACGGCCGGACTTAACTCACCGACAGCAACACCAGCAAGAGTCTCTGAGGCACCAGCTCGTCGACGTGCAGACGCTGCACGAACGAGCACAGCCTGCCCCACTGTTCTTCCTGCACAGGAGTCAGCTTCTCGAGGGCAAGAACCTCCACAGTTCCTCGGACCTGAGCACCAAGTAGCAAGTAACGTACAAGAGAGGGACCAACCTTGACGCAACGCGCAACAAAGGGAGAAGCATTGACGACAGTCGAACACAGCGATTGCCACCGACATCACCACTCCGCAAGCCCCCAACGTACGGAATGATGTCAGAGAGCAGCACGACTGCGTAAAATAGGCGTTCGAGATAAAAAAAAAAGGTGTTGTGAGGCGTGAGCCCCCGTGCACTGTTCGAAAGTAATGACAGCCATGGCCAAGACAGAAAGCTGCCGGGGCAGAGAGCCGCACAGGGAGTTTGGAGCTCGCGCCGCAGGACACCCCCGTCAGGGACGCTAGAAAACCGGTCCAATCTTCGCTGTTGCTTTCTTGCCACCCGACGAGAGGCAAAAAACGGATTCGGAAAAAGAGGCCAACAACACCAGAACAGCTATTATACGACACGGCAACAACAAGTAAAGACACCTAACACGGCAGCAGTCACATGCAGAATCGTTTTTTTTTTGCAGGCTTAAGCCCGGCGTGTTTTTGGCATTTAGTGACCAGGCGGCCAGCACCGCCGTCGATGCTGCTCACGTAAGCAGCACACAAACACAAGAAGCAAGAGAGAGAGAGACCCAAGAGCAACCCAAAGCCTACATAAACTGTTTCGTCATATGCTGCTGTGCCCGTCTGCAGAGTTTACTAAGACGCTGAGCGGGGTGGCTCACCATAACATCGACACCCCAAACGGTATCACAGAGGGCCTCCTGAAGCGGCAAGGGTTCCGCCGCATCCTCGGTTCCCGCCTTATCCCCGCCCTCCTTCTCTTCACCAACTCCTTCCTTTGCATCCCCTTCCTCCCCCTCTCCGTCCCCGCTCTCCTCCTCCTTAGCCCGAAGGCGACTGGCGAAAGGCTTGTCAGAGGCAAGGTAGCTGATGGCCAGGTCGACGCTCAGCTCGCCACCGACAACACGCCAAACCAGCTCGGACAGAATTTCCGACAGCCTCGGAATCGCGATGCTGACAAAAGGACAGCGAGGATGTCGCAGGCATGCGTGGTCAGAGGGATAGGAACGGAATCGCCTGCGCGATAAATTAACTTCATGAGAAAATAGAAGGGGGAGGGGATGTGCAGTCCTAACTTCGCCGATTGCATGCTATATCGAACATGGTCTTACTTGATGGGAAACACTGCGAGGGCTACTGGAGGGATAGGGCAAGGATGATCGGAGTGCTTCGAGAGGGCGAACCGTGTGAGGTGTGTACCCTGCTGGCCAACGGGAGACGCGGGGCTTCAACGCTGCGGGTCTTACGGCTGGTGGCATCGATGCGATTAGTATTCCTTGACCTCAAGCCGACCAGCAGGGGAAGCAGGCCAACACACCGCGGCGCGAGTGTTGAACAGGGCGTGTGTCGAAAACCATGCGGCGTGGGAGGGCATGTTTACTTTACTTTTTGCTGAGTAAGGGAGATCAACGTTGACTTCTGGGGTGCGGGCAGCAGCCCTTGGTTGGAGGTGGAGGGGGACAGGATTATGCAGTAGAGTTGAGGGCGGTGTCATGCATACAACCGACCGTGATCAACAGCTCAATTTGGAAGGGATCGTTTTCTCATCTGTTGCTACCGATAACAAGCGTCACGAGGCACCAAAGGTGATAACACCTGTGGAGAGGCACGGAAAGAGAGATTGGGGACCTCGCCTATACGTGTATGTTATGGAGGTTGTAGAGCTGCATTCACGGACATTGTACATCTATTGAATACGCAGTATGTGCCAAATAGGGCACACGAGGCGATGCATATGCACGTCTACAACCCTGCGAAGATGGGCATATATGTATAGATTCGCTGTGTACTAACTGGTATTTACGAGACGTAGGTTAGAAATGGAGATGTTGCAATCGTGTTTGCATCCCAAATATAATCAAGCCGAGATCACAAGATCCCGTACTACACAACGGGGAAGCTTGTGCACAGCGGCACCACCTCTGGACAACAGCAGTCAGGTGACAGACAGGTACATTGCTGCTGCACGCAGCTCCCTCTGGTACAAGTTAACCTTACGTCTGGGGAAATGGCGCCGAAAACGGCCGCAGGGGATGACGTCAAGGGCGATGCAATACTTGTACGAGCAGCGGCGAGAATTGCAGGTTTCCAACAATCTCTGAAAAAGACAGCACCATCATGTTTGCATGCTAGCTATTGCATGCACACCACGACTTACTCCCTGTAGTTGATCTCGAGGCTGTCGCCGCCCTCCCCCCCGTCCTGCTCCTCAGCGAACAAGCGTTCCGCCTGTCGAAACGCCCCCGTAATGCTCTCGCTCGGTAGCTTCGGGTCTCCCGACGACACCCATGCCTCCACCTCTTCTTCGGTCAGCACGGAGTAGATCCCGCCTAGCTTGGCCACTTCCTCCGCCATGGCTGGTGCCGCCTCTCGTGCAGATCAGGCAATGCGGGCAACGAAGCTAGGTACTGCTGTAGCTGCCTGTGTATTTTGGGTAAGCGAGACGAGACATACGTGTAGATAGATGGAGCGAGACGAGACAGCAGCTATCTCGGTCGATTCCAGTCGCTCGAAGTATCCAGGCGTAAGGCCACGGACAGTACGCAGTTGCGCAATGCCGTATCATGTTTAGCCTACCGTAGGCCCCGCATTGCTCAGAGCGTGATCAGCACCACGCGCCTGTTGTGTCTAAACTGCCGCTGATGTGTTGTGTGTTGTGTGTGGTACACACGGTCAGGGAGGATCGCCCACGTTTTTTCTCCTTTCTGGTACAGCACCAGGGATATCCTGCTTCCTCTCTCTTCTTTTCTTGTAATGGCTCACCGCTGATGGCCTTCTCAGGCAGGCCGGCCGTTGCTCTCCCTCAGCGAAAGCTGTGGATGCAGCCAGCACTGCAGGCAGCAGATTGACAACAACCGCGGGGGGGACGCAAACGACAATATGACTTGGGTTTTGGGGTGTGCTGAAACAAACAAGCCTACGAATTTAGGGGTCCTGGGGGGGGGAGGTGGTGCCGTTTCATGATTTTTATATTTTTTTCGACACAATCGACGAAACGGGCCGAAACCTTCCCACAAAAAAAAGGACGAGGGCACTACTGTACACAGCAGGTGGTGAAATGTAATGTTTGCCCACTCATCAGCCGCACGCGTCAACAACCACGGTTCCCGCCTACCTTTCTTTGCTGTTTGATCGGGGGTATGCTATGTAGCCGTCGTAGACAGTGGTTCCACAATGTATATTTTGGTTGTACTCTGCATCCACCACCCAAAGGGTGCGATTACTCTGGTTTCGAATGGTATGATATAAAAATTGTTTCACTGCTGTCATCGTGCAAACACCTACCTAAGCGTGATGCGTACAGAGGGAATAAGAAGCCGTGCACTACAGAGAAATTCGAATCACGGCGTTCTCCACATGTGAATGGGAGAGACAACAACAGCGCTGTAGTACAGTAGAGTATATGGGGGGTTATTGAAAACACATCGAGTGGTCGTCGTCAACAACGTCGTATGGGACGACAAAAATCGAGAAGCGATTGCCTACACATATGCATACAGCAGTACAGCAGTACCTTCGTTCGCTTCACAGTAAACAAATATACACGTGCGTTGCTTATGGTTCCTCGTTGTACCGTACAATGTAACGTCATGCTACAAGGCACCCCGTTTTACGGTACATTGAAATCAAGTTAAAAATAATTTGGGGGCAAAAAAAGTATTCGCAGACCGCCGTGTGGACATTGCAGTGAACCGGCCCGTGGATGATGCCGCCAATCGTTGGAAAATGCCTTTTTGTTGAGAATGCCCTCAGCATCAACTGAGAAGTGCACCACGCACGCACGTCTTCCCACAGGAAAAACATCTCGATCAGGCCATCGTGGTACATGATCTCCATCGTCGTACAAATGGGCGTCTCGAAGAGCTTCGTTGTTTCCAAGCCACCTTCCTTGGTTTGTTTGCAGATGTAAGCCATTTCAGGCATGCCACAACGACCTCTCTCTGAAACCGGCAAACGTGTGATATAGGGGCTTTAATGCACACGTTGCCCTTGATGCTACAAAACATACCAGCTCACGAATTGGTACGCAAAGTAGCCTTGAGAAAGGCCAGGTAGCCTCGAGAATGTTCGGGAAACTAATAGTCTAGTCACCTTTGCTTACTCGTCTCATAGCCCCGTCATTGCCATACATACATGTAGCCTACCTCCTGGACACATAATATAAGTCTAGTCTACCTATCGCCTTCCGTTGTACGTGCGGTACTGACGACAATAAACCACACATGAACTGCCCCGCACCAAGGGTTAACACCTACGATAGAGTTGGCAAATGTGATGCCGCCTGCTCTTGTCGCAGTGTTTTCATGGTCTCAGAGCCAAGACAACTTCCCCAGACTTACATTGAATCCTCAAATACATGTAAACAGGTGCTCTGCCATCGCACGAGTCCTGAGGGGTTAGACTACATGTAAATCTATCGAACTTTCCCTCACAAGTCCCCCAAGCGTATGGTAAACGCCCCCGCACACCACTTGCTCGGCAGAGGATCCTCACGTACGCACATTGATTGTCATTGTAATCAAAAAGTTCTCCCGAACGTCCCCAAACGTGCACTGAAACGAACCAACACTTGCTTATGTTGCATCGTCCGCCAAACCAACAGCAGTACCCTACGAACAAAAGCAATATCACAAGTTCCCCCGCACGCAAATATATTTTTCCACCACTTGCTTATTTTATCCTGCCCCAAAAAGTGACTCCTACAGCAGTTGTGTCGTCTTGTATAATAAGTACTCTGACTACGTAGGCTTAAACCTTCAATCTAACAAAGAAACAATGTTAAGATAGGTTGGTCGAACGTACAGTAGGCGGGTACTACTGTACATCGCTTTGACGTATATACTCCCACTACATACCTCCACCCACACCAACACGCAAACCCACCAAGACCGCCCTCTCTCTGGCTCGCTGCAGCCGTTCCGAATGCCACCATGGTCGTCGCACGAAGCAAGACCAAAGAGAGAAAAAAGAGAAGCGGCTAGAATTCCGAGGGGAAACAGCGCAATAGTGGCCGGAATGCATACGCGCCTACGTTGAAGGCTATTTCGTTGATGATCACGTCGTTGATGATCGACGCCGCGTGCGCTCTTCAACTATAGCTGGTTTCCATCGTTGGTTCTGTGCCATCTCGAGGAGACGTGGTTCCATGTGCACCGGTCACGAGATCTACAAGGGAACCAGGGGCATCGCCGTTGCCAAAGGTGCACTTTGCCTTCTCTGGATCCTCGAGTCACTTCGTGTTTATTGATGATGGTGGTGGTTGTAGACGGTCCGCCATCATGACGCAGGAGGCGGTAGTGCGGCCGGTCGCGTCCTGGACGTCCTGCGTGACGTTCAGGTTTCTCAATTGGCTCGGGCTCAATTTTTCCTGGAATTAATTGGGCACGCCCTCTGCTGATGTGATGCCCTCATCCTTCTCGGACTCGAAAATTGACCTGATTTGTTCCCTGCGTCAAAAGGTTGCGACACGTGGAGTACAGGAACGTAAGGAATGTGAGGACAAAGAACCCGGAGTGTACAGACAGGAAGGACCAAGAGTCCCACAATATCTCGACCATAGCGCCGACGCGTTTGTACTCCCCTTTCTCGTGCTCCCGTACGTTATTGACATGTCTATCCTTGTCTCTAATTGCTCGCAGAAAATCTTGTTGTGTTTTCAAACGTTCGTGACTCTGGCGTGAGAAAGACATTCTCAAACCAACACCAATCTTAATATCTCACTTCTTACTCTTCGGTAGGAGCCGCGGTGGAACCTGAAAGGGGATCCTCACTGTTGTTGAGGTGCTCTGCTCCCGATTGACGGGCGCCTTCGTCTGCCCCCCTGGCAGCCAGTAGATTATGTTGAGGTGCTCTTGTGGTCGAGTAGATTATGCTGTGCAGGGTCGAGAGCATTCACTCCGGGCAAAGGGGATGATTGCACCACGTTATGCAGCATCTAGGTGGGGGGTAAATAGCATTAGTCCCGATGTACCTCCGGTCACATGCATGGCTGAACCACACCCAACCCGACTGCACTGTGTTGGCATGACCCACAGGTATCATACAAGCCATCGGGCACCCCAATCCGACTAGTGGGTGCAGAGAAACGCCCACCCACGCGGGGGCTCGGTGGTTCAAAGGAAGGTGGAACAGATCGGGCGTATCTGCCCCATCAGGGCAAAATCTATATACAGGGCGCCGTTTGCCCTCCGGAGACTGGCCTTGTGTTGGCACGGCTCACAGCTATGATACAAGCCATCGAGACCGTCATTCGGATAGGCAGATGCAGAGAAACGCCCATTCACGGGGGCTCGGTAGCGCAAAGGACGGTGGAGTACACAGGCCATATCTGCTCCACCAGGCCAAATTCTATGTACAGGGTGTCGTTTGCCCTACGAAGACTTTCGTTGTGTTGGAACGGCTCACAGCTATCATGCAAGACATCGAGACCGTCATTCGGGACGGTAGATGAAGAGAAACGCCCATCCTCGGGGCTCGGTAGCTCAACGGCCGGCGGAGAAGATCGGCCATATCTGCTACACCAGGCCAAACTCCACCTACAGGATGTCATTTGCCCTACGAAGACTGGCATTAGGCTGGCACAGCTCACAGCTATCATACAAGCCATCGAGGACGCCATTCGGATAAGTGTAGATTCAGAGAAACGCCCACCCACGGGGGATCTGTAGCTCAAAGGCCGGTGGAGCAGATCGGCCATATCTGCTCCACTAGGCCAAACTCAATCTACCGGGTATCGTCAACCCTACGAAGAGTGGCATTGTGCTGCCACGACTTTGCCGTAAATAATAAACAATGCAATTGTAGGCTAAAGCAGTGATTGTGCCTATACTTGCAAATGACACAGATATGGAAACGGCAGTGCAACATAGCCCCACAAATGTGAACCCCTACCGTAGCATGACTCCGTTTTTTTTCCCGGCCATTCTCGTCGGCGTGTCGATCGGGTGGCGTTGGTCGGTGTTCCGGATGCTCACTACCTCTCGGTGAAGCTGTGAAGTCTAGCTAATAGGCGATGTGTTAGAGTTAGACGCTTCAATCGAGGAACCCTCCTCCTGCGTGGGGTACGCACGGCAGATGACGACGGTAGAACACTATTTCGGTGGAGGCTCCCTTTCCTAGCCCGCACTTTTTATTATCACTAATACTCTTGTTCATACAAACACTTAATCCCTAAATTATGTAATGCTTTCAACACAAGAACCTGTCAACTTCAACAACACTGATATGCTACGTTCGGCTAAGAGTCGTGTCAACAACTCGTAGCCTGAAGCTATGACAATAGTCTAAGCCCTTCTGAGGGCATGTACCAGCAAATATGGACACCAATGCCCTGGCAAGGGCGTCACCATTCACCTGCATGAAATGACAGAAATGCAGCTATTTGAACTTATCAACGTATATCGGACGGTGTTTCTTTGTGCTATCATCACCAAAACGCATCCGCCCATGCATGAATATCACTCTCCTTCCTGTTTGCCAGTTACATCAAACGACTACGAACTTGCTACGCGGCACGAGGAACAGGTCATCGAGAAATACTCCCCCACCGAAGTAAGACCATGAAAAACCCCGTCGGAAGGTATCGCGCTCTGCCATGTTGGCGTCAAGTGAAAAAAAAACGTTACACAAAGAATACAGTTGGTTTCAGTATCATTGGGTAGCTACGATGAGCTACGTCCTCAGGTAACCGCGGGTAGAAGGTGACAACAATTATGTGAGCCGCTCCCCACATTGTTGCCGCAAGTGTCAGTTGCTGACGACGTGGTCCGCATCCGACTGTTCTATCTGTGTATTGCGGGAGCAAGCTTGTTCCCCGCCCCTCCAATGTGATGCGCCTCCTCGGTCGTCCCTGGTCACTTGGCAACGAGCTCGTAGATGCTTGAGAAATCTTTGTGGGCGTTCCTGCCGACACGCACGGCAACAGCCGCGAGCAGTAAACTGGCGGCCAACAGCTCTACTGCTGCCAAGCGCTCTGTGCGTGGTGGAGACGACAACCAAGAATACGTAGAGCGGATACTCGGTAGAACAACAAAACCTGAATCGGTCCACGGCAATGAGTCTATGCCTAAAACCCTGAAACTTTATCGGTTGTGTGTTGGTACCGGAGAAGAAAGCAGATTTCGAAGTAGGCCATTTTGCACTTGATCAGCAGAATAAGTGTTGTGGTACGCATTGCCCCCGTTTACTTGACTTTTGGTTCTAGTGGTTGTCGAAGACAACGCACACGCGCCCGTTGAAAGTTGAAAGTGGCTTGACACACGTCCAACAAGTGTTGTTCGACGAGACCACCCACCCTTCGTTGCATAGCTGGGAGTAAAGCTGGTGCGCGTGTGCCCCCATTGGCAGAGACTGGGAACTCTCACTCGCCGCCTGTGCCAACGGTTGGCGTGAAGAGCGATAGGAACGGATGGGGTACAAAGGCAAGGCGAACCCGACATTCTACTCGGCATCTAAATTTGGCAGCACTACACGGCTGTAACCCCGAGTATGACCACACGTTCGACGAACACGGTACAGCAATCTCCCGCTAACCTCTGCGTTGTGTTGTACGCTCTGTACCTAGGCCCAACCATGCCAACACTTACGTGACGTGAACGCCATCAGTGCGCGACTTAGCAACGAATGGCTTGTTCCCCTTCTCCCGACACCTAAATGCCACGAGCTCAGCGAAGACAACGATCTATGCATATAGCACCGAATACACACCCCGGCCTTTTCCGAGTTGAAACCCCACACAAGCGAGTACACCCTACCGACCGCCGTCCTCATTCGCATGTCGTGTTAACCAAGCTGTACTCAAACCTGTAGAGCGAGGTGCAAATCCTTTTCCATCAAAGACGCCGCAAAGCCTCCCTGGAAACCCCTGGAAGAGGGGACGTTTTCCATCACCCCGGGGAAGGGGTTGTACGCCTCAGAGCTCCAGCAACGCGCTGTCGACGAGTTAAGGACGCTCGCCAGGACCTTGGTTCGCGAGTCGTGACGGGAAACGTGTGGTATTTGTTGCGACAAGAACGATTTCCATGTAGTTGTACATGTGGCTGGACGGCGTATACACCAAAGAGCGTTGAACACGCGGGAGGGCACAGAAACAATTCCTCCAAGCGAAGGCAGACGGCGTCGGGTTTATCGAAAAAGGACGCTGCCATAAAGAGGAAACAGGCACTAGCAAAGGATGTAAGACGTCATGCGCGTTTAAGGCGAATCGTGCCTGCCACGGCCGACGGCTTTGAGTCTGCGCCGTTCGTCGGAGAGTACAAGTGTCTGGGGAAACGCATATGGACACTCGCACAACGTGTCCTGTATGGAGGAATGGGCGAGAAAAAGTGGCATTCGTCCCATCCGAGCGTGGTACTCGCAATCATCCTCGATGCCCGTGCCCAACACCGTAGCAACTTCTAGAGGGATGCTTTGGGATCCTCTATTCAAAGAGCCTACATAGAACGCCAAACCATGATCCGGATCTACAGTACACCTTTCCTAGTCAAGACGGGGAAGGAAGTTACAGACATCGAAATCAACCGTTTCACATAAACACCCTACATGTAGGGCTGATCTTTGTGCACGACGAACACGCCAGTACGTCTGTGCACAACCAAGTCAAAGTGAACGAATGGAGTTCCAAACAAGGATACCTTCGCGTCCATTCCCATCTTGGAGCCAAGACTCATGGCCTCGGCCACTCCGATCATCGAGATCGCAAGGCTCAAGTTGTTGCAGACCTTGCCGTTTAGGTTGTAGTTGCAAGCGAGAGAGTTAGTCGTTTGAGCAGTTGAGGTGAGCAGTAGACTTATTAGCGGTTCGGGCAGTACAGGCGAGCGATGGAGTTAGGCGTTTGGGCAGTGGAGGGGATCGATGGTACAAGCCGTTTGGGCACTAGAACCGAGCGATATTATAGGCCGTTCGGAGAGTAGAGGGGAGCAATAGAATTGGCGTTGTAGGGTTACGGTTAGATAGAGTTTAGCGCAGGTCCAGTAGGAGTGGGCAGCCTCGTCGGTTTGTTTCAGCGTTAGAGTTACAGATCCCCTGCGTTGGAGCTGTGAATAGGACCTTAACGAGGAATCTCTCATTTCTGTAACGTCGAGGGTTAGACGCACAGGGTACGGCTTCACGAATAGCAGGTTTATCTACTGAAACAGATACCCCGAAATTCCCAATCAGGTAGAGTGTTGGGGCAGGGAAAGAATACCCAGTTCCGTATCCAACCTTGCAACATAGGGTTGTTTCCGTCGGGGACCTAAACCTGCTCTCTATACATTTTTGGAGTGTTTCTGAACGTCGTGTTGGTCTCTAACCACTGCAAGTAATCGCAAAGCTCGGCAAACTTGCTTCGTAGGTTTCGCAACACGTGACATGCAGCGGTGATGGCCTACATAACACGTCACTACATGTGAACCTCTTGTTTTGCCCGATCCTCGACTATTAGTTCCTGTGTGGGGAAGTCCAACAGTGGCTACAGGTTTCAGGATTCTTGGCTTTCACACATGGTCTTTGGGACAACCTCTTCAATACAATTGTAGCCTTCTCTTTTTCTAATCTCAAGCTCTGAACTCACACGTTCTTAAGGCGCGGCCCGCCCTGCATGTCAAGGCAAAAAATTAAGCGAATACGGACGTTCAGACCTACCTTTGCGATGCACCCGGCACCGGCGTCCCCACAATGTACGGCCTTGGATCCCATCGCCATCAGCAGGGGGCGAGCAAGTTCCAACCCCTCGTCAGTCCCGCCTACCATAAAGGTGAGAGTGGCGTTTGCGGCTGCGGGGACCCCTCCGCTGACAGGAGCATCAACCATTGTAACACCCTGGGAGTTCGGGGCAAAAAAACGGGAAAAGAGTGAGCACTCCCAGCTTTTGAGGACGGTCGTAAGCATCCCGCTTCTACGAAATGAACACCACACTCACACCTAGCGTGTGGCTGTCCCCCAACGTCTCACACGGCACTGGTTTGTCCCAGGCGTGCAATCAAGCATGAATTAAACATGGAATCCAACGAAGGTTTCGAGGGAAGCCTTCTACGCATCGAAAACAGACCGGGGCGGGCCCTCATTCGCCTGCCCATTTTCACCTTGATCTCGGCGATGGCGTTGACCCTCCTCGAAGCGAGCGGGTCAATCGTACTGCTGTCTACCACCAGAGTCCCCGACCGAACCCAATCCAAAAGCCCTTGCTCAGTCTCGGTGTCACCGTTCCCCGCCTGTCTCACGCGCTGCTTCTCCGGTGACAGGGAAGGACCATCGGTCGTGGCCCCCTCTCGGCGATGGTGGGAGGTTCCCCCCAGGTACACTTTCTCCACGTTCGAAGTGTTCGGCAACATCGTGACGATGAAGAGACTCGCTTGGGCGACCTCTTTCAGGGACGATGCCGCCGTGGCGCCGGTATCAGCTGCCACAGCCTTGGCTTTACGTGCATCAACTGCTCTAGGGGCGGTTATGGGGGTCGTTCGCAAAACGAGGGCGTTGTCCTCGTTAAACAACGAATCGTGTGTGAGAGCTTCCTGACTTGTTTAAGGGATACCGAATACAGCAACAGCAGCGGCAGTTTCCGCGGGAGAGACGCAGCACGTAACAGCTCCAGTGTGATGTCGTCCACACCAAATATTGCAATTTCGCGGCACGTACCTTTGGAGCAGTCACGTACCGAGTACGGGATACAGTCTGAAAAGATGCACAACAAAATAGATTGTTTTGAGGAACGGGGGCAGAAGCAGAAGCAGAACTGTCGACGACCACAGGAATTTTCGAAGGAAGATCTGGACGGTCTGGAGGACCAAAGGGGCGTGTAGGAACGCCTCATGGAAGGACTCACTCACTGACTCTCCCCCCTCGCTTCCGCGTTGAAGCCAATTTGATGCACAGGCCTCACCGCGCATACAAGTAGCCTGCAGACCCGGATGACAGCTCGCCTTCGAGTGTCTCCCTGGCCACCCCGCCATCGAAGTGACGGAATAATCACTCGGTCTGTCTCATACATATTGTCGATATTCTCTCGCTACATACCGACGGACTTTGGCCTCTCGTATAACACGCCATACGCGTAGGCTGGTGAAGGGCACCCACCGTCGAAAAGTAGGACGTCGTGACCGGCTCTCACCAAGCTCGTTGCCATGCACGAGCCTGAGAGCAGTTGCAGAATGGACGCAAAATCACACGCAAAAGGTACAGTTTGGAAAGCATTGCTGGGTCACGAATACGTCGTGTACTTCGTCCAGCGCATCTCTCCACGTAGTCGTGGTTGGCTCTCACAATTGTTCCGTAGGTTGCGTAGGATACCATACTCCCTGGATAGAATTTTTTCGAGCACAGACGAGCCTCTGCAGAAAAAAAAAACGGCGATGCCGACAATGTCGGAAGGCGTTGGAACCGTCTCTTTGAGAACTTGCCGAAAACCCGTGGCTTCATGCTGGCATCCTGGTCGTCGTGGAGCAATCGAGCTTTGAAAATCGGTATCCTCCTTAGCGTACTGTGGTAGATTATCTTGCGCAACCTATAGGGCTGGCTGTTGGTCTACAGTATGTAAAACCCAGTTACTGCTGTTACCGACGTCTATTGACTTAAGACTTTCGGCCTTGTGCATGTCCACCGAAAGCTTCCGATCCCGGCTTGCAAACACGATGTATTCTTTGCGGCGCATGCCCTCAGAATAACGCAATCAAGCGAAGCTAGGTTGTGGTAAAGTACGTGTAGGTCGGTCGGTGCTGGCTTTATTCAACGGCGGAAAGTTGAAGAACGCACACCACAACCATCGCCCAGCATCATCTCACGCGACTTCTCGGGTAGCAACGTATGTGAGTCATGCAGTAACCTTACCCATGTTTCCTAGCCCGATGAAACCCACACTGCCTTCAGAAAGTCTCGAGAAGCACCGACGGCGAGGCAATCCTGTACCCCTACATGTAGCATCACAGGGCTCGGCTGGTTTGAAGCATGATCGACGAGAGCAACGTCGATACGCGCCCAACGCCAAACTGCAATGTCGTCGAAGGAACATTCCGCGGAGAACTGAAGCTTCACCCTGTCTACATTCAGGGCCTGTTGGGATCCTCTGTGCTCGTACTTCTCGCTCTTCGACGGCGTGCGTGGTGGGGAAAGAGTGAGGTGCTGCAGCAGCACCAGCAGTGCAGTCGGTCAAGTTCTTGAGCGGGGATTCAAAATATTTCGCAGGCGTTCATGAAACCGCCTTCTTCGTTCATGTATTTTTCGCGACCTCTCTCGGCGTCGATGTCACCCCCTGCCTCTGTCGAAGCCCACAACGAAAGGTGTCACGCAGAGGAAGGTGTCACGGCACCCATCGGAGTAGCCACGACGGGAGCCAACAATAGGTGGTAGAGGGCGCATTCGGCTGTTTACTTCCCTTGTCCTTCAATTCTGCGCTGCTGTCCCTGCTCACGAGCAGCAGTGGGCATCTGCGACACACTGGCAGCAGGCAGGCATGTCGCACAACGCTCATGCAAAGGCGTCCAAGTTCGACGACACATCGATCAACCGTGTCAAGAAGCAAAAGTGAGCCTGTACAGTCTATACGCATGAACTTCACCCATCCACATGGAAGCCTAGGCACTCTGATCATCGTTGCACAAGATATCCTGACGCTGGTCGTATGCTAACCAACGTGATACATCATTTCAGTCCCGTGTATGGGGATGTTTGCAACCAAACAGAACAGCAGTTCTTGCCGCCGCAAGTACTTCGAGAATGCTCTTATAGCTAACGCGGGACGCCAGCACGACGCAGTGCGCGCACTGGGGTTGTGCACTATCGGCCGTCTCTAGGGTCACAGCCGTGATATTCTCGTTGTCTGCATGCAGAGGATGACACGCTAATATACATAGTCTACTGCTGTAGCGCGGTTGTGCAGGACACATGATTTACTTTCCTCTGGGCTTTGTCACAACAGCACGCAGTTATACTCTACTGAAGCTATACGTGTTGGTGCATGTGGGCGAGCTTACCAACACGGACTAAAAAGAACCGTGGCACTTTGGCCATGGTACTCGCGCACTATTTCACAGGGAGGCTATCAAAAGTATTCGCCATGGAAACGAGCTGCTCAAGTCTGACCTGGCCTGGGAAGCACGAGAGTCAAGATTCATCACCAATCCGTCGGCGGCTGCAGAGATTCAGAGACTACAGGACCAGGCCGATATCTACGCCAAGAAAACGGAGCAGGTACACATTGTGCCCCCTCGGCATACAAGCACACATTGCGATTGAACTGATGGTTTTGGGAGCGGGTCACCGCTAGGTATCCGCACGTATGTGCCAGTGTACCATCAAGTTCGCTGACAGTATACATACTTCTTGAGGCCCGGCGTGACCGAGTACCGGGAGCACTGTACAGTACAAAAATGTATTGAACATAGACTATACCATTTGGGTGTGTAGTTGTTGGCTTGTTGCCACGGACAGCGTCGGTGCGTCAGTTGGACCAGTAAGGATACTAGAAGGTACTGACCGGAGACCGGAACGGTGTTTCATGTGAAGAAAACAACAACATGTCTTGTGTTCCAATTTTCCAGGATCGACGCAAGATCCAAGACCTGGACCGTCAGATAGCCGCCACGCAGTCGAGGGTGCTGGAGCAGCGCCAGAAGATGGGCGGGCTCAACGCCTCCCAGGAAAATAACGAGATGATCGCCAAGCAGATACGGACGCTAGAAAACAGGCTTGACAAGGTAATTGGTCGGGTGTGGTAGGATGGGCGTTTGTATTTGGTTCTTGCCTGTGTTTTGCTACGGTACAATGTTGTCCTCCCTTACCTACAGTAGGTGGCTTCCCATGGGTCGCCCCAACTCCATCCTGCATACTACCTTTAAAGAGCGGATTATTCGAGGAATTGGGAAGAGTTTCACGACGTTGGGTGCATATATCCTACTCCGTGTCTGTGTAGTGCCGAGACTCGACCCACCCTTCGTCGGTCTCGCAGGCCTTGGTGAAATTCAACGAGTCCCTGGCCATGAACAAGAATCTTCGGGAGCGCATCGACACCCTGAGAAGAGAGAGGGTTGTGTTTGACAGCATCTACAAGAAGCTCGAGAGGGAGTTGCACGAGAAAAAGAAGGTGACACGAGGGCTACAGCAGCGCGAAGTGTAAGCGTAGGCTGGGGAGGCATGGTCTGACGGTTACTCCTGTCCCATCACCGTCGGCCATGAAAGTGCGCTTACTACTGTCAGGAACGGAATGTAGCTGGTGCAAGACGGACGAACTCTCAACAGTATTAACGGAGAGTGTAGGAAAGTTGCGGACCTAGCTCTTGTTTGACGCAAACGTGCCGTCGCCCAACACGGTCGACCATGTACGAACAAATGAACTACTTGGTCGGTTGAACCAGATACCCGCAGACCACCCAACACGTCTTGATCGTGTGCATGACCACTGCTGTGATTGTGCCTGAGCAGGAGATGGCGGCAATAATCAACGACAGCAACAACGCATACCACGCGAGAGACAAGGCCCAGAGCGAGATGATGGCATTGCGGCAGCAGGTATTCTTTCACCTTGCATTGTACGGTGGCTGGCGCCAGTATTGCCTGGTAGCTTTTGACATGGGTGACACCTCTTCGAACGCGGCGGTTGAAGCACAGTTTGTGATTGTAGGGCTTGTTGCAGTAGCACTTCCTGGGCAGGTAATTAGGGCCCAATCTGCGTGCGCAGGTGTTTCGCTTGCCGTCTAGTGTGCACGGCATTTTACACCCAAACTGTGGCATTCCTACTGTAATCAGTTCTGCTACATGTTTGTGACCTCTACCCAGCCTGTGCGAGGACAGAAGCCTGCTGGTTGGAGCCGTCTCAGAGCACGGTCGAGCCAGTCTTCTTCCGGTGCCTTCGATGATCGTTTCAGTGCTGGTGAAGCACGTAATCATTGTGGGCTCCGTGAAACTCCCCATCAAACTGACAATCAGCCTTACGAATACATGCCTACGAGGTGGGGTGTAACTCGGACGGCATTTCGAGGCCGGCTTCGTACTCAACAGTGATGATGCCCCATCACATCCAATGCAAGCACTTAGAGCCCATCCGCCATAAAGACGTGTCTGACTACAGAAAGGCAAACAACCTCAGAAATCCACGAAAATCACCCGGAGAGTTTCCTGTCGAATTCATCTGTTCGCCAGGCGGAAAAAGACCGTGCTGAATTCGACGCGGAGTGGAAAGAGTTGGGCAAGCTCATCGCTCAGGACAGAAAGCTCAGGGAGACGCTACGACAACGCCAGCTCGAACGAAGTAGAGACCTCAGGTGTGGCGAGCTGGGGAAGGAAACATACGTGTTTGTGAGCGGCATGTTCTGGAAAGATTTGCTTGAATGCCCTGTAGGATCCGGAGAGGGCGGGGATGGCAAATCCACCCAAGTACATCCGATAGTCATGAATCAAGGTACGTGCGGCGGCCTGCGGGTTGACTGTGCGAGCCGCCGAACTCTGTCCGGGGCCGACTTATTCGAATATATCGGCGAACATTTTGTGTTTCCCGGCCAACGGGGTACCAAGGGTCGGAAACGGAGAACGCTTACCCCGAATCGCCAGCGATTTTTTCCAACCCCTTTTTCATGAGCCACCACCAGTGCCATCTTGAAGTATTCGTATTACGTGCTGCTGTGGAAGCCCAAAACTGTTCCGCTTCGGGTGATGAAAACATCCAACATAGATTTCGCCCGTGTGCGCCAGAGCCGAGGGGGAATCAGCGGGGGACGGGGACGAAGATGCAAGGCTGATGACGGGCAGCGGGGTGGAGGAGTGGGGTGCCAATGCCAAGGATCGACAGCAGACCACGTTCAGTCAGCCTGAGCAATCGTACGAGGCGGCCTTCAACAAGGTTTGGCCTTAGGTGTCACCCTTGCCTTCCCCTTGATCAGAAATACTCATTGACTCGTGCAGCCATGACCGTAAGGTGTACAAGAAATATACATCAGGTCGCTCTCTTCTTCCGTCTGTGCTGCATACCACTGGAGAGCCCGTCAGGTTCCTCATCGTGGCACCAAATACGGTTTTCCCGCTTCGCGGCCGGAAACCCGACGTATATACGAACGTTGAAAACACCATGGGAGATGATATTGAGGATGTCCAGTACAATGAAAATGGCGCATCGTTGCAACCACGCTATTTGCGACTTGGACCAATGGCGCGGGGCGAATGCTAATAACAACGATATTTGTTACGCATACCCTTAAGATTAGTTTGGTCGCGAACCCGTGTTTTTTCTCCGTTGGTGTTGTCGCGGCAGATTAAGGAGGCCACCGGGATGACGAACGTGACAGACATGGTCAACAACTTCCTGCAGGCTGAAGAGAAAAACTTCAGTCTCTTCAACTTCGTCAATGAACTCAACAGGTGAGTCCTGCATGCGGGCACACACGGACGACAATGCTACGTCGTGATGATAGGTTATGATGATCTTGTACTTCCTCTCCACTGAATCGCCAAAGACGAAACATGTCGAATGTCGACGTACTCGTCTCGCCCGATAGGAAAGTGAACATGCGCTAAACACCTTGCAGATTGGAACTGTTTCTCGATAACCTTATCAGCCTGTGAAAATCAATTTTAACTTTGGTCACCCCTGGGCCAGCGTCTTGCCTCGGCTATACACTTGGTAGGCACTGCATAACCCGGAAAAGAACAATATATCTCAACCTCCAGCCACCACAGAGATCACAGAAATGCGCGCCAGCACAAACCCATGCGGACCCCTGATTCCTAATCCTCATCATATGTCTGTCACCACCTCATCAAAGCGAGATCGAGCGACTGGAGCTCATGATCGCCGAAACAAAGAACAGCATCGAGAAGTTCAAGGGGCAAGGAGTAAGCACAGACACGCAGAGGAAGAAAGTTCTCAGGGGTTTGGAGGAGCAGCTCTCTGTGACAGAGGTCAGTCTGGCACCATTGGACTCCCACTGTACCCCGTGTCCCCTACCCTTGCCTTTGGTTCTACCAGCCAACATCTGGCCCTCGTCTTGCAAGGGCGGGAAAGGCAGCTCTGTGTCACTGGTTTTAGGTCTTCTGCACTCTGTCCAATTTCTGAGGACGAAACACGTTTTTCTCTCCGGATCTGATCCACAACTTACTGCGGTTTTTCTGAAAAATTAGGGGTAGTTGTTGTTTTCCCAGTAGACTCAATTTGGCAAGCAGAGAAATGCTTGGCGTTCAAACCCATCGGCGAAGGTTGTACATCCCCCCAAGGTCAAGTATTTCTGTCGATCTTCACCGTGGATGTGAAAATATTCGCCGTACACCGGAGCCCTTCAAGCTGGTGTTTATTGTACATGTATGCGCTTTGTCAACAACGTCGAACGCAACCCCCACTGATTTGGAGTACGTTTGAATTGTTTTGAAGTAATTCAAATCAGTGTGAACCAGAGACGTATCACAGAATTGCGTGGTAGTAGCAGTGGAGCCCACAACCGCCGTGCTTGGGTTTTGTCTCTACCCGTGCTCCAAACTGCCTATGATAGCGCTTGTTCCTCGTTTCGCTTACTTGGTGGAACTTCGAAATGTTTTTCGGTTACACTCAGGGCAAGGCGGATGACTACGAGCGGCGGTATCAAACGGCAATGAAGACAATCAACCAGCTCAAGACCGGTATCCACAGCATCTTCAGCAGAATCGGGTGGGACAAAGTAATGATTTTGAGAATCATTCTCTTCATGTCGCGACATGCCGCATGTAAAGCTTCAACAACGGTCACATCTCTCCTCCTACGAACCACAAAAAAGTGCGCTTGCTGAGCATGTGTACACGCCACAGGCGCCACGGAGGTGTTGAGGGTTGAACAAAGTGTTGGCGTCGTGCCCATCGACACTGCATCATTTGGCTGCCACACCAACGTTACAGAAAAAAAAAACGTTTCAGCCCGATGACATTCGACCGAATCTGACTCTAGTATCGACGCCCTGACGCCCTTAACCAAACCAGCGCGGGTAGCAACTCATCGGTGGAGGAGATGCTTGGCAACCAGGGCGTGACGGAATCGAACATGATGCAATACCTGGGGATCATCGAGCAGAGGACCAGCGAGATACTGCAAGCGTACGCCGCGTCGCAGCAGATGACACAGGCGGCGGAAACCCAGGTATCTCAACGAAGCGTTGCCGTACACTTGGGTTACCGCCCTTGATAATCTACAACAGTGGTTGAGTGTTCTGCACCGACCTTGTCTGGAAGTTAGAGAATTTCTCAGCGGTCGTCATGGGCGAAACAAAAAAAGGCACACAGGTAGAACAAGCTGCGAAAACGTTTACCCATAACCCGAAGGACAAACGCATGTGCGGTAGCAGGTTGTGTTTGTATCTTGCCGTCAGGCATGTGCCCATGTACTAAGTAGGTACTAAGCACGACCCGGCAGAACTACCGCTACAGGAGATAATCGAGTCGCACACAATTCGCACGGTAGACATATTGCAAGGCTACAGTTGTTGGTTTCATGGAACAGGCAGGCAGACGTCCTCTGGCCAGTCGGTTGAAAAGACGTCGCAAAGCGGCCGCTGGAAATTCTCGACAGCAGTAACCAGAAGTACACACGCAACGTTCAGTTAGAGCTGTCCGATAGGACCTACTGGCCCTCACCCCATACAGTAGAACCCATACAGTTCGGTGAAAAGAGTGTTACAGGGACGAACGGGGTTGCCTTTGAGAGGGACATGGGCAAAACGATACATGTGACATTTTCTTATAAGTGAATTTGCCAACAATCAGTGAGGTGAGAACACGACCGCAAAAGGAGATACGCTGTGGTCGCTTCACCCCGGAAAAGAGGGGACAAGACGAGCAACCCTCATGGTGGAAAAAATATTTGCTTTGAGAGTACCTGAGCAGTGGAGGTCTGCGTCTCTCGGCAGTAGTGGTAGACCTTACCCGTGTTGGCAGGGATGCATAGCCAATGGTCAAGCCTTTTGGGCAAGCAATAACTGCGACCCCCCACCTTCCCCTCTTGTACCTCCCGTCGTCCAATTTCTACCCCGTTGCCCTTCAGGGGTTCACCCCTTCCCTGGAGGGAGGAGCAGCGGGGGGGGCAGGAGCAGTGGACGCCACGGTGCCGCTCCGGCTCAACGTGCAACCACCCGCCTGGGACGACTTCAGCTCTGGAGAAGACTCCGACCAAGAGGACGACGAGAGGCCTCTGACCCGCGAGGAGCTCAAGCGCAAAACCCTCAGAGGGGGGGGAGCCGCCAACGGGGGCGGCGGGGGCGGGGGTGGGGCGGCGTCCGGGTGCGCGGCCGCGGGAAGGGGGGGCGGGGCGGGCGGAGCGGGGGCAGCAGGAAACAAACCGAAAGACGGCAAGGTGAGAGGTGGTAGTCGAAGGCAGCATTTCGCTCCGTTGAGAAGAACACAACAACAGCGTTATAGACTCTCCATCACAAACAGCGCGTGAGACTACGAGCGGGCGCCCGACGACGTTTCCACTGGCTATTCGCAGTAGCACAAACCTTGCCTATTCTCAGGAGAATGCACAAAACATGTTTTTCCAACCGATGTGGCAGGGCCCCTCTACCCTCCTCACTACCTCGTGCTACCCGCTATCTCCCCGACAGGCGAGGACAAAACAGGCCAACGCGCGTACATGACTCAGCCAACATCCCCAGGCAACGGGTCATGGCAGCATCGTACCAAGCACAGCATGGGACAATGTCACCCAGGGGCCTTCCAGAGCTCTTCGTGGATAAGAGTCCGGCGTTCAAGCCGTTAAGGCCCGTCGGCGGCATTGTTATTGGCGAAAATAGCAGCTACAGATGAAAACGGCGAAGGGTGGGGCTCGTACCAGCTGCGCATTTTTTCTTTAGGTGTGTTGTAGTTTGGATTATCTTGGCTTTCACATTGTCGGTGGTTGAAAACTTGTCTAGGGCACGACTGCTATTTGTTGCACGCGGTTGACGTCGGTAGAGCGTTTTGTTGGGTGTCCACACGCCAACTTTCGCATGATCGTTTCGTGGTTCTGCTTGGTTGATGTTCAAGGAATAGCGACTCCATTGTGTGGTTGACTGTATCGAAGGCAGTCGAAGCACGTTCAGATACGGTAGCTGTTCCGGGCAATGGTATTTTACCGCAAGGCATGTTGGTAATGCACACCACTGCCTAGAACCAAAAAAAATCGATCCACAAGGTCAACCACCAGTTGTTCTGCCGTAATTAAATCTACCGTAATTAAATGTAGTCGCCGTAGAATAGACATCACGGATATTGGCGGGTGTTCTCTCCCCAAGCTCTCGAGGCGGAGACATGAAACGTGGCGAATCTTTCACATCGTGAGTTTAGCTTGCTTGCCGGTCAGACTCACACATCGACGATCCAGATGTCACCAAAAGAACGTGGGACGCCATACTTTTCTTGTGCCATAATTGAGCCCGCAGGCAAGTGCGGTATGTAGGATGTGATGTTGTTGCTGGGAGATGTTACTATTGGAAAAATGGGCTAGGCGAACGCCACTGCATGCGCTTGTTTCGCAAAATGCTCTTCGCGGGACGCAGAAGTGCATCGTTTTGACACAAGTTAGCACACCAAACGCATGTACGCCCCCAAATGAAGATCGCAGCTTGTTTTTGACGCAGAACCCTCCGATCGAACCGAGCCTCTCCGTCTTTCTATCTAGCGTCCAAAGCCTCGGAATGTCCGTTTCCATCTGAAGAAAGGGCGTGTTTTGAGCCCCCCAACTATCCTCGAGTGCCGCCGAAAACAACACCCGGCGAAGTAGGGGCAAGAGCGTTCCTCGTGCAACAGAACGGCGACGACTTTTTTTATCATATTATACTTAACTTAGCAATTTAACGAAAGCCAATTCTATTCTACAACCAACAGAATAGTGCTGTGCTGTCGTTCTTTGGGAGTTACCCTCTTCGATTTTTCTACGGAATCCATGGGTTTGCGTGCGTGCACGAGCAGCAACCCGCAGATATCCCACCACCCCAGCAAGGCGCTCTTTGTGGTCCTGTATACTCTGATTGTCGCAATACCTACATCGTAGATTTACTCTCGATAGCGTGTTATGATTCCCTTTCTCATGATGGCGTGAAGAGATCCTTCCAGTGCGTTAGGCATAGACCGGCTACCAAACCACCCTCTGAAGCCATTTCCAAAGCCCCGTTATATGTACCACAACGACGAGAGGTTGTGCCACACACCGTCCACAAACAGCAGTGCCGGCCCGCTCGTAAGAACGACCTCGACAAGGCGATTCCCACGCCGCCATGTTCAGCCCCACTACACATTCTACCGTACCTCTACGGTCTTGGGTTAACGTAGGCCCCACATTCAACTCTAGCTTCCACGGGAAGGCGCGGTAGCATCCGCGGCGAGGAGGCACAAACACGTTTTTATGTGAGTAGTCCAAGGGGTGTGGTATCTTGCACTTACTGCTGTACTGCTGTTTGCTCTTTTTGTGGCACGCAGTAAATAGAATGCACATTTTTTGACAGGTTGGTCGGAATCATACGGACTGATACACGGCTTTGCACCTCAAGGCAGATACATGGAGTGCTGGGTCCTGTCCAAACTCGTCTGATCTCCGACCAGCGAGGGACTCAAGGAGGCACTGAATTTGATTGGCCGAGACGGACTTTCCACCGGACACCCAAGAAATGAGAGAAGGCGTGTCTCATTCTCGCGCTCTGGTCTTTTCCCGTTCTCCAGCTCCCTGGCACTGCCCTCTGCCCCCTGTCCCTTCCCCGTAGCCCAGGCTAGAAGGAAGTCTGCCAGCAAACTCACCCGGACAACACAGCTGCCACCGCAAAATGGGGCATTTGGTCTCCCACTTGATTGGTGCGGCATCCGTGGTTCCACGAGCGTGTGAGTAACCCCCACAACTCACACCCGCACCCCAATCAACCAGCCTTGTCGCTTGCTGCAATCTTGGTAGTCTCCGGCAGGTCGAGAACGAGCAGTCGGGATCCCTCCCTCTACCATACCTCCATCGTCCCCTTTGTTGGTGAGTCGCAGTCGTGTACAGACGTCCGTAAGTGTCAGGTAGCAGTAGTTTTGGAGCTCGTTTGTTCTTTGGTCGATTGTACCATGCTAAACTATTATAGTTGTACAAGGTCTCCCTTCGGGACGTGGATGTCTACCCTCCCTCAGGTGACGCAAGACAACATGCGCATTGCTCGAAGAGGGACTGTGTGTCTTACAACGCTCGTATTTCGGCTCAAAACATTGCGCACGGTGTTATTCTACATTGGAGCCAGCTCGAGCGGACAATATTTTGGCAGCGAAAACTCAGACTTCCATGAAGTCTTTGATTGATGATGGCAGATTTCCGATGAGAACCGAATTTCAAACCGAAACAACACCACAAATGGGACATGTTCAACACTGCCGCTGGATGCATGCTCTCAGACTTGTCGATACTTGGCCCGCAGCGAAGTGTAGTAAACGTAGGTACTGCTGTTGGACAGTGCGATGACACGAAGAGTCACAGCCATGAGTCATCGAATCAATGAATGAATGAACGAATGAAAGTGGAGAAGCAAGAGGCAAATATTTCAAACCGTCGTGTTTGATGGGTTTGATAGGTTGCAGAGTTGGTTCGCCAGGCTTTGTCAGCGCGGAACGCGTCCCCGGGGTTTTGAGCCAGTTTTCGCAACTTTGGCCGTCAACCACGCGCACCACGTAGGCCTACCGAGCTCCGGGCACGGGCGTTAATGTACCGACGAGCCTCCTGCGTGCCCCTGAGAAGGAATCGTGATAAAAGACTCGCTGCCGCGAGAGAAAGAAACGCCGAAGCATGAAAAGCGGCCAAATCTTAATGTACGTATGTACGTATGTACTGGAGTATATAGGCGATATTACAGAAGTATTTTTTTCGGCAGCTAATAATGAAGGGGTGTGAGAGATATGAGACACGTGTAGTTGAATAGACGCAACAGCTATCTCCACCAATAGGCCATGAGGGCAGCCCGCGACAGGGTGGTGGGCACAGACAAGGTCATAGAAGAGTTGATGGGTGGTCGCGGTGCGGCCTGGAGGTCAGGTTGCCTTGTAAACCTTGAAAAGATCAGTCGACAAGCTTTCAACTACTCTTTTTCAAGGAAAATCATTTACATCTACACTTCTCTGTCCCCCCCCAATGTGAGCCCTGCCGGCTCACTAGAGCTCCTGCGTTCTTCCCACAAGCGCGCTAGCACACCAGCATACACCTACCTTTGCATCAGTGGCTCCCTAAGTTCGGGCGAGGGTTGGTATGTAGAGCTATGATGTGTGTCTGTGTGAAAGGATGTGTAGAGAAATTCATTATTTGCAGCATTCGCATATAGCGCATTGTGCATTTTTCGAATTATGGTAACCTTCCAGCGACCTTAATTTTTCCCGCTGGCACTGATGTCTTTTCATTGGTCACCGGTTAGCGCGGTGGTGCTAGTACCTACCTATAGACTTGCCAACACCTGGCGTGGAGGGATACAGGGCGGCAACCACACCAGCATTTGCTAATGTCTATGAATGATCTATTACGCCTGTAGACCCAAAGATGGTTAAGAGATTCTGTATCCTGCCTCACGGGGGTGGTCGAATTTCCAGCAGTGGCAAGACCCGCCCTATCGCCCGGTGGCTGACTCATTCCGGTGCTGCAGACCATGAAATACAGCAACTTGTGGGGCCCAGAGTTATATATTGGAGTGGTCTATAACTGCATGCTGGTATAGGATTGGTCGTTGGGAGGAAACCGAACACCTGGACGATGCCGTACGTACGTGACGCGCCGGCGTTTTCGAATTCCCCACATGTATGCATGTAGAACACCCGCTGAAGCTGCAGCATGAGCGGTAAAGGCGGTATTCGAAGCAGCAGAGGCGGCTAACGCTGCAGCGGTAGCCTTGGAACCAGAAATTAATCCGCCGGTCGTGAGGGACAGGTGTGCCCTTGGCTGATTGGGTTATGGTGCTGACGTGAACGCTTCGTGTAGCATGCCTTTGTGCTGTGCTGCTATTTCGTCCACCCAATCTACGGTCATGGCTTTTTTTCGTGTACGCCTAGATCATTGGAATGTGTGTGACGGCTACGGGCAAGATGGTTTTCCTCTTGCTAGCTAAGTTCGTGAAGTTGATGGGGGGTGATGGTGCCTTCAACGCGCGACCCTTCTGTTGACCACTGTACCACGTATCTGTTCCTGTTGTTTCGATCACCTCGTTGAGGAGAACGCCGACTGGTGACGACAGCGGCAGCAAGATTTCAGGTAGGTATTGAGCCGAGAAACAAAATAACAGGTATCTATGTAGGGAGGACGGTGTGCTGGCCCTGGTGGTGTATCATAGCCCGTGCTCTATGCTGTCGGCTGGTTGCGACTTGCCACCTACACGACCTCGTTTCGAAACCTCCACATCATTCGAACCACGACGTTTTGCTTGTTGCAATCTTCGTATTGTTGCGTACAGGCTCGATGTCATCTACTGGTTCGGAAACCGAGATGGGTGATTTTGCTGTGGCAAGCCGAGGTGAGCCTTGCGTGCCACTGCGAACGATGTGCTGTTCGACCCCACGAATTGTCTGAATATTTGGCTTTTCCACCACTTCGTGCACCACCTACGGATGGAATGGGAATACGGACACAAACATTGCCACCTACGGATGGAATGGGAATACG